TGAAGAAATTCCCATCCATTATACAACACAATTGTTGACATAGTACACATCCTCAAACCTTCATTTTTGGCAACCTTTTCATCCACATTTTCCCTACTTCTCATCCACCTGCTTTCCTAAAATTTTCCTTCGAGCCGGAGTTGAACCAGCGACCTAAGGATATCAGACTCAGTCCACTACAGTCCTCCGCTCTACCAACTGAGCTATCGAAGGTACTAAATAAAAGGGGTTGGTGACAATATCTACAAATCAATAAGCCACAAGCCATATTAATGTCAAATGGGCATTTTTTCCGTGAAGAAATTCCCTCAAATTCTCATCCATTATACAACACAATTGTTGACATAGTACACATCCTCAAACCTTTATTTTTGGCAACCTTTTCATCCACATTTTCCCTACTTCTCATCCACCTGCTTTCCTAAAATTTTCCTTCGAGCCGGAGTTGAACCAGCGACCGAAGGATATCAGACTCATTCCACTACAGTCCTCCGCTCTACCAACTGAGCTATCGAAGGTTCACGGGCCATGTTGATTAGTGACAATATCTACAATTCTCATATTAGGGTTATGGTTTCATATTAGGGTTTCGGAACAGAAGGTGGCAATGACTCTGGACAAAAAAGGGCGCATTCAGCTTCCCCATAAAGCATGAGACATATTAGAAATTGCCTCATATCCTCATCCATTCTACAATTGTCGCCATAATAACCATCCTCCAACATTTACTTTTGGCAACATTTTCAGCCACCATTTCCCATCCGTCTGCGATCCAGAATTACTCCAAGATGGATTTGAACTAGCGGTGTAAGGATTAAGGTCAGCACTAATTGAACCTTGCTTTCATCTCTCAAGTTTCCAAGTTCTCGCCAATCTCCTTCCCTAAAGATTTCCTTCGAGCCGGATTTGAACCAGCGCCCTAAGGATTCCAGCCTACACCCACTACAGTCCTCCGCTCTACCAACTGAGCTATCGAAGGTACAAATTTGAGAGTGATTGGTGACAATATCTACAAATCAATAAGCCACAAGCCATATTACTGTCAAACGTGCATTTTTTCCGTGAAGAAATTCCCATCCATTATACAACACAATTGTTGACATAGTACACATCCTCAAACCTTCATTTTTGGCAACCTTTTCATCCACATTTTCCCTACTTCTCATCCACCTGCTTTCCTAAAATTTTCCTTAGAGCCGGAGTTGAACCAGCGACCTAAGGATATCAGACTCAGTCCACTACAGTCCTCCGCTCTACCAACTGAGCTATCGAAGGTTCACGGGCCATGTTGATTGGTGGCAATATCTACAATTCTCATATTAGGGTTATGGTTTCATATTAGGGTTTCGGAACAGAAGGTGGCAATGACTCTGGACAAAAAAGGGTGCATTCAGCTTCCCCATAAAGCATGAGACATATTAGAAATTGCCTCATATCCTCATCCATTCTACAATTGTCGCCATAATAACCATCCTCCAACATTTACTTTTGGCAACATTTTCAGCCACCATCTCCCATCCGTCTGCGATCCAGAATTACTCCAAGATGGATTTGAACTAGCGGTGTAAGGATTAAGGTCAGCACTAATTGAACCTTGCTTTCATCCCTCAAGTTTCCAAGTTCTCGCCAATCTCCTTTCCTAAAGTTTTCCTTCGAGCCGGATTTGAACCAGCGACATAAGGATTCCAGCCTACACCCACCACAGTCCTCCGCTGTACCAACTGAGCTATCGAAGGTCCTAATTTAAAAGTGATTGGTGACAATATCTACAAATCAATAAGCCACAAGCCATATTAATGTCAGATGGGCATTTTTTCCGTGAAGAAATTCCTTCAAATTCTCATCCATTATACAACACTATTGTTGACATAGTACACATCCTCAAACCTTTATTTTTGGCAACCTTTTCATCCACATTTTCCCTACTTCTCATCCACCTTCTTTCCTAAAATTTTCCTTCGAGCCGGAGTTGAACCAGCGACCTTTTCCGTGAAGAAATTCCCATCCATTATACAACACAATTGTTGACATAGTACACATCCTCAAACCTTCATTTTTGGCAACCTTTTCATCCACATTTTCCCTACTTCTCATCCACCTGCTTTCCTAAAATTTTCCTTCGAGCCGGAGTTGAACCAGCGACCTAAGGATATCAGACTCAGTCCACTACAGTCCTCCGCTCTACCAACTGAGCTATCGAAGGTTCACGGGTCATGTTGATTGGTGGCAATATCTACAATTCTCATATTAGGGTTATGGTTTCATATTAGGGTTTCGGAACAGAAGGTGGCAATGACTCTGGACAAAAAAGGGCGCATTCAGCTTCCCCATAAAGCATGAGACATATTAGAAATTGCCTCATATCCTCATCCATTCTACAATTGTCGCCATAATAACCATCCTCCAACATTTACTTTTGGCAACATTTTCAGCCACCATTTCCCATCCGTCTGCGATCCAGAATTACTCCAAGATGGATTTGAACTAGCGGTGTAAGGATTAAGGTCAGCACTAATTGAACCTTGCTTTCATCCCTCAAGTTTCCAAGTTCTCGCCAATCTCCTTTCCTAAAGTTTTCCTTCGAGCCGGATTTGAACCAGCGACATAAGGATTCCAGCCTACACCCACTACAGTCCTCCGCTGTACCAACTGACCTATCGAAGGTCCTAATTTAAAAGTGATTGGTGACAATATCTACAAATCAATAAGCCACAAGCCATATTAATGTCAAATGGGCATTTTTTTCCGTGAAGAAATTCCTTCAAATTCTCATCCTTTATACAACACAATTGTTGACATAGTTACACATCCTCAAACCTTTATTTTTGGCAACCTTTTCATCCACATTTTCCCTACTTCTCATCCACCTTCTTTCCTAAAATTGTCCTTCGAGCCGGAGTTGAACCAGCAACCTAAGGATATCAGACTCATTCCACTACAGTCCTCCGCTCTACCAACTGAGCTATCGAAGGTTCACGGGCCATGTTGATTGGTGACAATATCTACAATTCTCATATTAGGGTTATGGTTTCATATTAGGGTTTCGGAACAGAAGGTGGCAATGACTCTGGACAAAAAAGGGCGCATTCAGCTTCCCCATAAAGCATGAGACATATTAGAAATTGCCTCATATCCTCATCCATTCTACAATTGTCGCCATAATAACCATCCTCCAACATTTACTTTTGGCAACATTTTCAGCCACCATTTCCCATCCGTCTGCGATCCAGAATTACTCCAAGATGGATTTGAACTAGCGGTGTAAGGATTAAGGTCAGCACTAATTGAACCTTGCTTTCATCCCTCAAGTTTCCAAGTTCTCGCCAATATCCTTTCCTAAAGTTTTCCTTCGAGCCGGATTTGAACCAGCGACATAAGGATTCCAGCCTACACCCACTACAGTCCTCCGCTCTACCAACTGAGCTATCGAAGGTACAAATTTGAGAGTGATTGGTGACAATATCTACAAATCAATAAGCCACAAGCCATATTAATGTCAAATGGCCATTTTTTCTGTGAAGAAATTCCCATCCATTATACAACACAATTGTTGACATAGTACACATCCTCAAACCTTCATTTTTGGCAACCTTTTCATCCACATTTTCCCTACTTCTCATCCACCTGCTTTCCTAAAATTTTCCTTCGAGCCGGAGTTGAACCAGCGACCTAAGGATATCAAACTCAGTCCACTACAGTCCTCCGCTCTACCAACTGAGCTATCGAAGGTCCCAATTTAAAAGGGATTGGTGACAATATCTACAAATCAATAAGCCACAAGCCATATTAATGTCAAATGGCCATTTTTTCCGTGAAGAAATTCCCATCCATTATACAACACAATTGTTGACATAGTACACATCCTCAAACCTTCATTTTTGGCAACCTTTTCATCCACATTTTCCCTACTTCTCATCCACCTGCTTTCCTAAAATTTTCCTTCGAGCCGGAGTTGAACCAGCGACCTAAGGATATCAGACTCAGTCCACTACAGTCCTCCGCTCTACCAACTGAGCTATCGAAGGTACTAAATAAAAGGGGTTGGTGACAATATCTACAAATCAATAAGCCACAAGCCATATTAATGTCAAATGGGCATTTTTTCCGTGAAGAAATTCCCTCAAATTCTCATCCATTATACAACACAATTGTTGACATAGTACACATCCTCAAACCTTCATTTTTGGCAACCTTTTCATCCACATTTTTCCCTACTTCTCATCCACCTGCTTTCCTAAAACTTTCCTTCGAGCCGGAGTTGAACCAGCGACCTAAGGATATCAGACTCAGTCCACTACAGTCCTCCGCTCTACCAACTGAGCTATCGAAGGTTCACGGGTCATGTTGATTGGTGGCAATATCTACAATTCTCATATTAGGGTTATGGTTTCATATTAGGGTTTCGGAACAGAAGGTGGCAATGACTCTGGACAAAAAAGGGCGCATTCAGCTTCCCCATAAAGCATGAGACATATTAGAAATTGCCTCATATCCTCATCCATTCTACAATTGTCGCCATAATAACCATCCTCCAACATTTACTTTTGGCAACATTTTCAGCCACCATTTCCCATCCGTCTGCGATCCAGAATTACTCCAAGATGGATTTGAACTAGCGGTGTAAGGATTAAGGTCAGCACTAATTGAACCTTGCTTTCATCCCTCAAGTTTCCAAGTTCTCGCCAATATCCTTTCCTAAAGTTTTCCTTCGAGCCGGATTTGAACCAGCGACATAAGGATTCCAGCCTACACCCACTACAGTCCTCCGCTCTACCAACTGAGCTATCGAAGGTACAAATTTGAGAGTGATTGGTGACAATATCTACAAATCAATAAGCCACAAGCCATATTAATGTCAAATGGCCATTTTTTCTGTGAAGAAATTCCCATCCATTATACAACACAATTGTTGACATAGTACACATCCTCAAACCTTCATTTTTGGCAACCTTTTCATCCACATTTTCCCTACTTCTCATCCACCTGCTTTCCTAAAACTTTCCTTCGAGCCGGAGTTGAACCAGCGACCTAAGGATATCAGACTCAGTCCACTACAGTCCTCCGCTCTACCAACTGAGCTGAGCTATCGAAGATTCACGGGCCATGTTGATTGGTGGCAATATCTACAATTCTCATATTAGGGTTATGGTTTCATATTAGGGTTTCGGAACAGAAGGTGGCAATGACTCTGGACAAAAAAGGGCGCATTCAGCTTCCCCATAAAGCATGAGACATATTAGAAATTGCCTCATATCCTCATCCATTCTACAATTGTCGCCATAATAACCATCCTCCAACATTTACTTTTGGCAACATTTTCAGCCACCATCTCCCATCCGTCTGCGATCCAGAATTACTCCAAGATGGATTTGAACTAGCGGTGTAAGGATTAAGGTCAGCACTAATTGAACCTTGCTTTCATCCCTCAAGTTTCCAAGTTCTCGCCAATCTCCTTTCCAAAAGTTTTCCTTCGAGCCGGATTTGAACCAGCGACCTAAGGATACCAGCCTACACCCACTACAGTCCTCCGCTCCACCAACTGAGCTATCGAAGGTACAAATTTGAGAGTGATTGGTGACAATATCTACAAATCAATAAGCCACAAGCCATATTAATGTCAAATGGCCATTTTTTCCGTGAAGAAATTCCCATCCATTATACAACACAATTGTTGACATAGTACACATCCTCAAACCTTCATTTTTGGCAACCTTTTCATCCACATTTTCCCTACTTCTCATCCACCTGCTTTCCTAGAATTTTCCTTCGAGCCGGAGTTGAACCAGCGACCTAAGGATATCAGACTCAGTCCACCACAGTCCTCCGTTCTACCAACTGAGCTATCGAAGGTACTAAATAAAAGGGGTTGGTGACAATATCTACAAATCAATAAGCCACAAGCCATATTAATGTCAAATGGGCATTTTTTCCATGAAGAAATTCCCTCAAATTCTCATCCATTATACAACACAATTGTTGACATAGTACACATCCTCAAACCTTCATTTTTGGCAACCTTTTCATCCACATTTTTCCCTACTTCTCATCCACCTGCTTTCCTAAAACTTTCCTTCGAGCCGGAGTTGAACCAGCGACCTAAGGATATCAGACTCAGTCCACTACAGTCCTCCGCTCTACCAACTGAGCTATCGAAGGTTCACGGGTCATGTTGATTGGTGGCAATATCTACAATTCTCATATTAGGGTTATGGTTTCATATTAGGGTTTCGGAACAGAAGGTGGCAATGACTCTGGACAAAAAAGGGCGCATTCAGCTTCCCCATAAAGCATGAGACATATTAGAAATTGCCTCATATCCTCATCCATTCTACAATTGTCGCCATAATAACCATCCTCCAACATTTACTTTTGGCAACATTTTCAGCCACCATTTCCCATCCGTCTGCGATCCAGAATTACTCCAAGATGGATTTGAACTAGCGGTGTAAGGATTAAGGTCAGCACTAATTGAACCTTGCTTTCATCCCTCAAGTTTCCAAGTTCTCGCCAATATCCTTTCCTAAAGTTTTCCTTCGAGCCGGATTTGAACCAGCGACATAAGGATTCCAGCCTACACCCACTACAGTCCTCCGCTCTACCAACTGAGCTATCGAAGGTACAAATTTGAGAGTGATTGGTGACAATATCTACAAATCAATAAGCCACAAGCCATATTAATGTCAAATGGCCATTTTTTCTGTGAAGAAATTCCCATCCATTATACAACACAATTGTTGACATAGTACACATCCTCAAACCTTCATTTTTGGCAACCTTTTCATCCACATTTTCCCTACTTCTCATCCACCTGCTTTCCTAAAATTTTCCTTCGAGCCGGAGTTGAACCAGCGACCTAAGGATATCAGACTCAGTCCACTACAGTCCTCCGCTCTACCAACTGAGCTATCGAAGGTTCACGGGCCATGTTGATTGGTGGCAATATCTACAATTCTCATATTAGGGTTATGGTTTCATATTAGGGTTTCGGAACAGAAGGTGGCAATGACTCTGGACAAAAAAGGGCGCATTCAGGTTCCCCATAAAGCATGAGACATATTAGAAATTGCCTCATATCCTCATCCATTCTACAATTGTCGCCATAATAACCATCCTCCAACATTTACTTTTGGCAACATTTTCAGCCACCATTTCCCATCCGTCTGCGATCCAGAATTACTCCAAGATGGATTTGAACTAGCGGTGTAAGGATTAAGGTCAGCACTAATTGAACCTTGCTTTCATCCCTCAAGTTTCCAAGTTCTCGCCAATCTCCTTTCCAAAAGTTTTCCTTCGAGCCGGATTTGAACCAGCGACCTAAGGACACCAGCCTACACCCACTACAGTCCTCCGCTCCACCAACTGAGCTATCGAAGGTACAAATTTGAGAGTGATTGGTGACAATATCTACAAATCAATAAGCCACAAGCCATATTACTGTCAAACGGGCATTTTTTCCGTGAAGAAATTCCCATCCATTATACAACACAATTGTTGACATAGTACACATCCTCAAACCTTCATTTTTGGCAACCTTTTCATCCACATTTTCCCTACTTCTCATCCACCTGCTTTCCTAAAATTTTCCTTCGAGCCGGAGTTGAACCAGCGACCTAAGGATATCAGACTCAGTCCACTACAGTCCTCCGCTCTACCAACTGAGCTATCGAAGGTTCACGGGTCATGTTGATTGGTGGCAATATCTACAATTCTCATATTAGGGTTATGGTTTCATATTAGGGTTTCGGAACAGAAGGTGGCAATGACTCTGGACAAAAAAGGGCGCATTCAGGTTCCCCATAAAGCATGAGACATATTAGAAATTGCCTCATATCCTCATCCATTCTACAATTGTCGCCATAATACCCATCCTCCAACATTTACTTTTGGCAACATTTTCAGCCACCATTTCCCATCCGTCTGCGATCCAGAATTACTCCAAGATGGATTTGAACTAGCGGTGTAAGGATTAAGGTCAGCACTAATTGAACCTTGCTTTCATCCCTCAAGTTTCCAAGTTCTCGCCAATCTCCTTCCCTAAAGAATTCCTTCGAGCCGGATTTGAACCAGCGCCCTAAGGATTCCAGCCTACACCCACTACAGTCCTCCGCTCTACCAACTGAGCTATCGAAGGTACAAATTTGAGAGTGATTGGTGACAATATCTACAAATCAATAAGCCACAAGCCATATTACTGTCAAACGGGCATTTTTTCCGTGAAGAAATTCCCATCCATTATACAACACAATTGTTGACATAGTACACATCCTCAAACCTTCATTTTTGGCAACCTTTTCATCCACATTTTCCCTACTTCTCATCCACCTGCTTTCCTAAAATTTTCCTTCGAGCCGGAGTTGAACCAGCGACCTAAGGATATCAGACTCAGTCCACTACAGTCCTCCGCTCTACCAACTGAGCTATCGAAGGTTCACGGGCCATGTTGATTGGTGGCAATATCTACAATTCTCATATTAGGGTTATGGTTTCATATTAGGGTTTCGGAACAGAAGGTGGCAATGACTCTGGACAAAAAAGGGCGCATTCAGCTTCCCCATAAAGCATGAGACATATTAGAAATTGCCTCATATCCTCATCCATTCTACAATTGTCGCCATAATAACCATCCTCCAACATTTACTTTTGGCAACATTTTCAGCCACCATCTCCCATCCGTCTGCGATCCAGAATTACTCCAAGATGGATTTGAACTAGCGGTGTAAGGATTAAGGTCAGCACTAATTGAACCTTGCTTTCATCCCTCAAGTTTCCAAGTTCTCGCCAATCTCCTTTCCAAAAGTTTTCCTTCGAGCCGGATTTGAACCAGCGACCTAAGGACACCAGCCTACACCCACTACAGTCCTCCGCTCCACCAACTGAGCTATCGAAGGTACAAATTTGAGAGTGATTGGTGACAATATCTACAAATCAATAAGCCACAAGCCATATTAATGTCAAATGGCCATTTTTTCGTGAAGAAATTCCCATCCATTATACAACACAATTGTTGACATAGTACACATCCTCAAACCTTCATTTTTGGCAACCTTTTCATCCACATTTTCCCTACTTCTCATCCACCTGCTTTCCTAGAATTTTCCTTCGAGCCGGAGTTGAACCAGTGACCTAAGGATATCAGACTCAGTCCACCTACAGTCCTCCGTTCTACCAACTGAGCTATCGAAGGTACTAAATAAAAGGGGTTGGTGACAATATCTACAAATCAATGAGCCACAAGCCATATTAATGTCAAATGGGCATTTTTTTCCATGAAGAAATTCCCTCAAATTCTCATCCATTATACAACACAATTGTTGACATAGTACACATCCTCAAACCTTCATTTTTGGCAACCTTTTCATCCACATTTTCCCTACTTCTCATCCACCTGCTTTCCTAAAACTTTCCTTCGAGCCGGAGTTGAACCAGCGACCTAAGGATATCAGACTCAGTCCACTACAGTCCTCCGCTCTACCAACTGAGCTATCGAAGGTTCACGGGTCATGTTGATTGGTGGCAATATCTACAATTCTCATATTAGGGTTATGGTTTCATATTAGGGTTTCGGAACAGAAGGTGGCAATGACTCTGGACAAAAAAGGGCGCATTCAGCTTCCCCATAAAGCATGAGACATATTAGAAATTGCCTCATATCCTCATCCATTCTACAATTGTCGCCATAATAACCATCCTCCAACATTTACTTTTGGCAACATTTTCAGCCACCATTTCCCATCCGTCTGCGATCCAGAATTACTCCAAGATGGATTTGAACTAGCGGTGTAAGGATTAAGGTCAGCACTAATTGAACCTTGCTTTCATCCCTCAAGTTTCCAAGTTCTCGCCAATATCCTTTCCTAAAGTTTTCCTTCGAGCCGGATTTGAACCAGCGACATAAGGATTCCAGCCTACACCCACTACAGTCCTCCTCTCTACCAACTGAGCTATCGAAGGTACAAATTTGAGAGTGATTGGTGACAATATCTACAAATCAATAAGCCACAAGCCATATTAATGTCAAATGGCCATTTTTTCTGTGAAGAAATTCCCATCCATTATACAACACAATTGTTGACATAGTACACATCCTCAAACC